CAATTGCTACGCTTGCTACTAGGTGATAATCATGCACTGGAGGATAGACCCAGAATTTATGTAGCATTTCAAAGAATGTCCCACCATGTGCTAGGAGTCAGGCCCAAAGGGACTGCAAAGCCCTAAAATCTTCTAGTAGAAAAGACAAGGCAAAAGCTTGGCCAGGTCAAAGGAGTTGGCTGGTCAAAACAAAGAGAACCAGTGGGGACCAAAGACACTGCAGGCAGGAGGGTGAGAGCGGCACATGGAGTTTTGGTGTGACATCATGGAGGAGGAGGTGGACCACCAAGGAGTGATAGGGTATACAAGTGATGATCACACCGGGCCTATCATAGGAGTGCAGGTAAGGAGCATTTCCATCCAAAGTGTGCAGTGATATTCACTGGTACCAAGTGGCGCTACAAGACACAGAGCAGGGAGGCTAGACATAGGTTATGTCACTGCACAGCCTGGGGACAGCGGTGGAGAAAGGTAGACTGAAGCAACATTTGGGATGGTGAGGATTCTATGTCCAACTGGAAAAGAAGCATCCAGAGGACATCCATGTTTCTAATATGAGAACTAGGGGTCAAAGGTGCTGCCCAGCTAAGAAAAACAACAGGCCAGAGAGAGATGAGGAAGACCATCAGAAGCTCAACTGCTGGTGGCTGTGTGCATATGGATGGGAACGCTCTGGGCTTGAGATGGCAATAGGGAGCTCGAGGGAGAAAAGAGGACAGTGCATGGGATGAGAACAACAGAACTACAACTCTGTCCATGCTATGGTCTGAGTGCTTGTGTTCTCCCCAAAGTTCTTCTGCTGAAACCTAATCTTGCAATGGGACCGTGCTAGGAGGTGGGGCTTGAGGAATGCCTGGACTGTGAGGGATGGGATTAGCGCTCTTATAAAGACAGATCCAAGAGAGATACCCTGCCATTTCCCCCACGTGAGGATACAACAAAAAAGCACTATAAATCAGAAAGCAGGCTGTTAGCAGACATGCCTCTAAAACTGTAAGAAACAAATCTACTATTTGTCAGCTACCCAGTTTAAGATACTTTGCTCAAGTGGATGAGTTCCCAAATGGACTACCAGAAACCACTGTTATGACTTGTATCTAGCTGTTCCCTCAAAGCCTCATGTACTCATAGCCAGGGCTTTGAAGAGCTGGCTGGATCTAAGGTGTGTGATACTGGGAATGAGTGTGTGTGGTACTAAATTAGTCCACTGATTGGTTTAGCACAGCTCTGAATAATGGAAAGGCCCAGCCTGGGTGTGGGTGGTACCACCCACAAAAGGCCTGTGCCTAGATGGAGTAAAAGGGAAAGGGAGGCTTGCTTTGGTGTTGCTGCTTCTTGCCTGCCCTGCCATGGTCTGTTTCTCTTCTGCCATGGCTTTACCGTGCTGCCTTGCCACCCTATCTTGGAACAACCAACTATGGAATGAAACCTCTACAAACTGTGAGCTGAAATAAAACTTTCCTCCTTTAATTTGTGAGTGTCAGGTGTTTTGTTCCAACAATGACAAAAGTAAGAACCACTTATTAAGGACCAGACTGAAGGGGATAATAAAGCAAATGAGGTACAGGCATGGGAAGAAAACCAGAAGAGGAGTCTATTGGAAAAAAGGGAAATATGAGGGCATGAACAGTTGTGTGCTTACTGAAGGGAAAAGGCTACAAGTTACTCTTTAAGGGTCTTTCACTTTTTTAGGAATAACTCAGGCCTGCATAAAATCAGCCTTCATATCTTAAGAGAACAGAGAAATATAGAAGTGTGCAGAAATCCCATAGAGTGGTCATTTCCCTAGTGGCACAGACTGTTAAACTGCTGGCCATTGAATAGTCCTGACCTAAGAGGAATTTAAAGGATGTCAAGTCAAAACTGCACATCAATACTACACATCTGAGTATCCCTCCTCTCCATCAACAAGTTCACACATGCCCTTGACTTGATGTTTCTTTCCAGGTATCCTCTCCATTTCTGCTCCAAGCAACAGAAGAATAACAAATGGGACTCTTGGTGCTTCCTCTTTTGTATGTGGCAAACTCCAGGTGGACATTCTGTCTGGACTCAACGGCCTTCCTTGGCACCATGAATAAGTACCAAGTGCCCTGGCTGGAGTGGTACAGGATAAGGCAGCACTGCCATGGCCTGTGGGGCTTCTCCTAAGGGGAAGAACTCCAACCTTAAAGGAAGGTTCTAAAGCAGCGCTCTCCAGTAAAAATGGAATGCAAACCATCTGGCTACGTTCTAGTAGCCATGTTCAAAAGTAAAAAGCAAACTACTTTTAACAACACATTTTTCTTAACATATGCAACATACACTGTTTCAACATGTAATCAATATAAAAGTTATTAATGAGATTTTTTAACAGCAATTTCTCCATGCTATGTCTTGGAAATCCAGTGGACATTTTACTTAGGGAAGGTCTCACTTCAGACAGGCCACAGAATAAGTGCTCAGTTAAAGCATCAGACAGTAAAGGTTGAAAGGAAAAGTAGCAAAGAAAGAATTCCAACTCAACTTGAAAATTTCTCAGACACTGTGCCCATGCCTGAATTTTCAGGACAAAGTACAGAAAAGATAATTTCTCTGAATGCATTTATCAACTTTAAATAAGTACTCCACTGTAAAATCACAGAAAAACATCAGCAGGACTGGGAGAGCTGGCCAAAGAAAAGGCTGCAGGGCATAATGTTGGGGCATCAATATCAGGGCATCAGTGCCCAATTTCTAACTTTCTCATGGTGCTTTTCTGCCTTCTCCCTTTATTCTTCCAATGACCTTACGTGGAAAGCAGGATCTATCTCATCTTGCTGATGAACAAACTGATGCCCAGGCAGTTTGAATCATGCTTTCATTTCTAGTCACTGCTCTTAGACGTGAACCCAGATTTCAGGCTTCACCCTTGCTCTAGGCTTTTTCAGTAAGCAGCTAGTCAGAAACAGCTGAAAATGCGCAGGGAGAACAAAGCCAGCATCTGCCAAGTCAATGAGCAGGTGGCCCCCTGCCCAGTGACTCTTTAAATAACACCTCCCTGTTCTACAGAGCTTTTGAGTTTTCAAGAACACTTCCAAGCATGTCCATGTACTTTTTGTTTTCTGGTATATTAGGATCGAATCCAGGGGCGTGCTCCACCACTGAACTATACCCCCAGCCCTCTTTTACTTTAAGACAGGGTCTTGCTAAGTTGCCCAGGCTGACTTTGAGCCAATCCTCCTGCCCCAGCCTCCAGACTCCCTGGGATGGCAGGTGTGTCACCACCCAGCTATGCATATATTTGATTGAGGGAGTCACAGTGCCTGCTTAGGAACATGCCCAACTGTGGCCTGAGAAGCAGGTTGTCCGAGGTCACCTGGTACTCTCATCTACACATCTCATGTCTCTCCACTCCCCCCGCTGGCTCTTTGGTTGACACCTTCTACTTTTAAAGCAGAATTTTGAAATGTTAAGCCTAGCTACTTTATAAATGTATTTTGATGTTTTCTCAAACCAGTGGTTAAGATAATAATCAGGCACAGTTTTAATCAATCACAAAAGTACCTTCCTACAACTCTAGCAAATTGATCCTTAAAACAGCTCAAAAACCTTCTCAGCTCCTGCCCTTACTAATCAATGGTTAACATACACACACACTGATCCAGCACACAGAAAGCAAAGGTGTGTGGCAGGTCAAATAAGCACATCTTTCCAGCTCAGCCCTGGCTAAAGGGAAACTGAAACAAGGACCTCCAGGGCCTCTGACCTTTTATTTGTTTACTCTACACACTTTGCAGTTTAGACAAGCCTATCAATTTGGGATTCCTTATGTGGGATTCCACACAAGCTCCATGGGTCTTTAACTGGGGCAATCATTTGTAGCTTACACAAAGCTTTAAACCAGTGAGGAGACTGCCCTGGCCAATATACCTTAAACACTGCTGAATGCAACAGGGCAAATGTCTGCCCAGGGCCACATTTTAAAAATTAAAAAAAAAACAAAAAAACAAGTTGACACTCAAGGTACTGATCAGCTATTGTCACAGGAAAATAAGCATGATGCAGACAAATAGACAAAAGGCTTTGAAATATCACCACCTAACCCTAAGACCAGCACAGTGTAATTTTCAAAATTCTTTCACTGATTGATTTCCTAACATTTTACATTTTCACAACTGTCCTGTAGGCAGGTATAAGAGAAAGCATACAGAAGCACTCTGCTGCACAGCCACCCGAAAGTACAGCCTGAACCACGGAATTCTAGAAACTGGTTCACAGGTTCCCCACCCTAACCCCTACCAGGTGAGTTGGCCCAGCATAAACCAGGACACCTAAGCATTTAGAACTAAAGACCACTGTTAGAACACGTGAAAGGTCTTTGCTACCTTTTATTTAACTATAGTCCAGGTATATACCTATTAAGGAAGTCCTGCCATACCAAAAGAAAAAAATATTCCTTCAGGCAAAGGACAAGAGTTGACACAGAAGCAGCTCCTAGCTGCTGAGGCTACCAGGTCACCATTCTCATCAGGATTTCAAAGCTAAAGGTCAATAAGCTTCTAATACAGAAGTACAGATTACAGTGGTACCTTGGTTCATGAATGCTTTTGTTTACAAACAATTTAGTTTGCAAACAGAAGCATTCAGCAAAGTTTTGTTTTTGTGCATGAATTCTACATGAGGTGAACATGACCACAGCCATATTTTCTAATGGATACAAACGCAGCCCCATCTTCCCTAGAATTGTGGGACAAATTAAGTTTGTAAACCGAGGTACCACTGTATTTCTAATATGTAATTTGACTACTCTTGACAGCAGCCACATGGCCTCCAACCATACCACAGTCCTGCATCCCAAGAGCTCCCAGACACAAAAGAAAGCCAACCATGACACTCCCACACACACACACACACACCTCCCCATTAGAAACCACTTCTGCACAGCAGGTGTGCCATGTCCTAAACACAACAGGACCCCACCCAACCACAGAGAAAGAAAAAAAGGGGACAGAGAAAACAGCGGTCAGTAGCGTTCTTACTTTTCTGGCAGCGATTTGTGGTCCAGCAGCGGTAGTTGTACTCATTGTTGATGGTGGTCTTCTCACACAATGGCTTCTCCTCCATGGTCCCTGGACACAGGTCCCCACATTCCTTTGGGGGCTTGTTCCCCACAATATAGTTATTGGACACTGCATCCAGGATCAGAGACCAGTCCACTGTGGAGAGGTAACACAGGTCAGCATTCTTCTCAATCCTGATAGCCCCGCGAGTAATGTTCCTCAGGTTGTAAAGCCCAATATCCTTGAGATTAGTCATCTCAAAGATGACCAGGGCGTAGTTGTAGAAGAGTTTCCAGCCACGGATGACTGTGAGGTTCGGGAAGAGGTCTCCAAGGCTCTCGAGGCCGGCCACACGGAACAGCAGCAAGTATTCGGTGATGACTGTGAGCTTCGGGAAGCGGTAGCTGCGGTAGTCCTCAGCCTTGGAGATGAGCAGGATGTGGAGGTATCCCTCGATCACTGTGCAGTTCTCCAGGCGTTTCAGCTGCTGATAGTCGTTGCGGATGTCAATGCCCGGCCCACAGACTGAAGGGAGACAAGGAGGAAAAGGTGGGACACAACTCAGTTTAAAGGAAACCATTCTTAAAACTATTTTCCAAAGCATAATGTGGTCAGTTTGCAGAAAACCTGCTTGTATTAAGGGAAAAGACTCAAGTTTTCACTGCAGACCAATTGAGGTGTGGCTGCAGCTGACACCATGAGTCGCGTTCAGCCTGTTGTTGCTCAGAAGGCCTACACCAGGTCAGCTGCTACTCAACACATGCACCGAATATGGAAGGCCTCATCGGCCTTAACCACGCAACAGAAGCGTGGAGCCCAGGGTCACCTGGGGTTACACACAGGAGTCAAGGTTGTAACCCAGACCAGCCCAGCTCCACAGCTGCCAGGCTCCACATACCATGCCTGCCCCTTCCTCAGAGTGCCAGCTCCCAATGCCTGATCAAAAGCTTAGCAGCCAACTTACTACTGCACTCAGCTGGCAGTCACAAAGCACAAAGTCTACAGTGGAGAAGTCACCATGTTGCACAGAATACATAAAAGAGCCATGTTCCATGTGTCCTGCTGCATCTGACAAGGGCCCAGGGACTTTCTGTTCTCCCCAGTAAGGCATTAATGTAGACGCAAAGAACTAGAAAACAGTATTCTTTAATGAAAAAAGTCATATACTTCCTTCTTAATCAAGTGTTTTATTAATCAAGAAAGCATGCTTCCTGTGGTAAAGTCAAGTAATAGGAAAAGATAGTAAAATTAATCAGTGACCTCAACACCCAAAGATAATATTAACACTACCCACACCAATTATCCTTTCTCTGTAAATAACTGAAAGGAAATAAAATCACACAATAACATCTGTAAATGTACTTCCTTCATTTAACAAGAACATCTTACCAAGCCAATGAATGCCCCTCTACATTACGGGTTTAATAAGCAGATGTTATTCCTAGAGTATCACTAACATCATGAGTTCCTTTTGAACCAACTCCCCATTGGTGGACATTTAGGTTATTTGCAGGTTTTCACATTATGCACAATACACTAGTGAACATTCTTGAAAAATAACCAATATTACTGTCTTAGGATAAATCCCTAGAAGTGTAATTGCTTGACAGATGCATCTGCAAATTTTAAAAGCTTTTGGTAAAATGGCCTCACTACTTGATGATCTTACCTTTAAAATTCCAGATGTACACACCAAAACAACCCTTGCTTACTCTATTTTCTTGGGACTTCATAATCTTCCCACACCACTATTAAATCTTCTCAGACTGAAATTTTCTGGCCAATATAATTCATTAATGTGTGAAGCACCCAGCATGTAGGATATAATTAAAGAGGCAAAACAGCAGGGCCCCACCCCCTGAGGAGGCTCCAGGTACTGCAGCTATGCAAAGAACTGTATGGAGATGATGGGGGGGGGGAGGAACAGAAGGATCCAAGGGCCGAGGAGTGGGCAAAACTTGATAATCTAGAATGCGGAATGCTTTGGTCCAATTCCTTCATTCTACTGATCAGAAAATAAGAAAAACCAGAATTGAGCACATGCCCAAACATGCTAGAAGTTTTTGGCTATATCACTTTGTTCCATGTTGTTCCCAAACCTACCTCACTCAGGGCAACATCATAACCACTTTACACGTGAGGAAAAATTGTAGATTTGAAGAAGTCATTTTGTGCATACCATGTCTCACAGTTCAGCCTTCCCCTAAGTCCATCCATATGCCAACACGAGGCCAGAGAGACTCTACAGAAATATACCCATGTCTGCTCCTACCCAGTCTTCTAGTATGTGCTTCTTGTTTAGCACATGGTGGCCACCAATGTTCAATATGCCAAGCTCTTTTCATCCTCACACCCTGCTTCTTGGATTGCTTTATTCCTCTTATGGCTTAAATATAAAAAGCCCTCTCAAAAGACTTAGGTAAAGACTTAGGTACTGAGGGTACTAACTTCATGATGAGTTCATAACAGAATGGGTTGTTAGGCGGCAGGGACTAGCTGATAGAGGTAGATCAGTGGGGAATGCCTCTAAGGGTGTACCTTCTCTCTGGCTCTCTCTCTGCTTCCTGGCTGCCACGAGGTGGCAGCTTTCCTCTGTTACACTCTTCCGCCATGATGTTTCTGTCCTGAGCCAACAGAAAAAGGACTGAAACCTCTTAAATCATGAACAAAATAAAACCTCTGTCCTTTAAGCTGTGTATTCAGGTATTTTGTCCCAGTGACAAAAAGCTAACAAATGCACTCCCCTTTATCCACGGTTCTGCTCTCTCCCCCACACCCATACACCTGAGCTTCAACGGCTATGCTCCCAGTGTCCCCTAACTCCTTCCTCCCCCTTCCCGCATCCCTCATGTCTTCATTGCATTTTTTACCCAGCTGCATGTCACTGACTGAATGTCCTTGAGTACCCAAGGCACCAAGTCTTTCTTTAGGGTGAGGGAACACTTTCTTTTTTCCTGTGCCCAGCCTAAAATGCTTTATTCCTTCCATGCCACTGCAAATTACGTGTATTAATTTGCTCTCAAACAGTAAGCAGTGTTTTTTATTCGGGAGTGTGTGAACTCAGCCTATCACTGTATTCAGTTCAGTATGTGCTTCATCACATTATGAAGCGTTAGGTATCAACTGCTATCATTTCCAGATCACCAGAGTTCAGAATCCTGGGAAAGAGGATGAACACACATCACTGAGGTGTGTCGATCTTTAAGCCTATGATCCAAATGCAGGCAGCAAGGGAAGAGAGTCTGCTCCACTCTGCCATCTGGCTCTTCTCCACAGCCCGCGAAGACCACTCAGCAAACAGAAGCCAAGCTGTAGAGCTGGAACTGGCAACTCCTTCAAACGAAAGAGCAGTCTTCGTACTTGACCCCCCCCCCAATTTTTAGAACAAAAGAAGAAATGTAGGGAGAAGCCACCCACTTATTCCGCAAGAGGAGACAAGCCCAAGCCACAAAGTACAAGGCAGGGCCCAGCAACCAGCTGTTTTGGATTCTGTGACTGACACTGTTGGTCTTTGGGGTGTTTTGTGATAGAAACAGAAAAAAGGAAAACCAAGCTGGACCATGCATGACAGCACAGTGTTCAGGAAGATGCAAGCCACAAACAAGAAAGGGAACACAACATGCCTCATTTGCACCACCAAAGAATACATGCATTGAGGGAGTAAATACTCAGCACAGTGCAGAAGGAGGACACACCCTGGGCTACTACTGCTCATTGATAATTAAAAGGAAATTACAAAATACCATTTTCTCCCTTTTCAAAGCAACAGATGCAAAAAGACCCAACTTTTTTGTTTTGTTTGTATGTGTCACAAAAAGACCCAAACATTCAAAATGTGAAATCCAAGAATGGCCTATAAAGAATAATAAAAGTTATTTGCTGGTGTTTTGTTTTTTCTTTTCTTTTTTCTTTTTAATGAAGTGAGCTGGATATCTCTATAATTTTTTTCAGATGACTAAAGAACCTGAAAAGCTGTTGCTACTACTGATGCATAAAACACTGCTATTATTGCTCTTTTTATATAAATATAAATATACATGTATATAATTTAAAATTCTGGGAACTTTAACTTTGCTGTCAACTTAAGAAAAACCATTTATTTACCATGTTGAGATGGCATTGTACAGAAATTTATAGCCATACTGGTCTAGAAACATTAAATTTAATTTTTCTTTCCATTTGTCCATGGGTAACATACTATGTTAAATATGCAAGGACTTATCTATGTGGGTTTGATTACAGAAACTAATACAGCAGTCTCTAAATCATGAAAAAAATATAAAAGTTTATGGAAATGACAGCAGACAGGAGGCAGGGCAAAAAGATACTGCTGGAAAGGAGAGACAGTAGGTCCCAGGCGGTCCCTTAGGCCAGTGAATGCCACAGAAACAAAACAGATGGAGGCACCAACTTATAGCCTGAGCTGGGAAGCTGGGGGACCTGGTACTTGGGACAGAATTCACATCCCCAAAAACAGTTGAAAGGAAATCTGTTCCCAAAAAACCCTATGCATTTTTTTTAATTCAAGAGGTAGAATTTCTGCTTCCAGAATATAAGCAAAAGGTTAAAAACAACTACTATATAATTTAGAAAATAAATTCCTACGAAATACTAAGAAGGGAAAGGTTACTTAAAGCATTTAGCTGAGAAAACCCACCAAAGGTGGGTATCTAAGTGTTTGGAAAAGCCGCACAAGAAATGCAGTTACATGTTTATTGCATGTACTATGTTAAACACATCCTTGGGGTCCTAGATGAAGAAAAATGAGACGGCTGAGTTCTGCACCCCAGGGGGCCAAATAGAACACACTCCATCTCTATGCTTCATTTTCCTCATCACCAAAATGAGCTGCTACTGCCAACCTTACAGAACCTGCTATAACAATCAGATAAGTACTTCTGTGTTACTGTCAACAGTAATAAGCTTTAGGCAACATTACTGATTAAACATTAATAAAAAAATCCCTCTGTCTTGTTGCCTCAACCTAAACATTACAAATATCAACAAAGTGGAGGGAAAATTAGCAAAATCACTGATTATCCTGTCTTGTCAACAGTTCCATTGATGAGTATCTTAAATTACCCATTTAATTAAAATGTTTTCAGTTTTGACCAACTCTTCAACAATATGAGATAGTCCTAGCTTATGGTTAGAAATACAAGACACCAAGAAATAAACCTGGCATACTTTTTACTAGAGGCTGACAGTAGACAATTAAGTGAAATGCTTTAGTGGACCATCATCTCTTGTTCTGAGGTAGTTTGCATAAGAAACTGATTTTAGCCAGGTGTACTGATACATCCCTGTAATCACAACCCTCTGGAAGAGCAGGAGTTCAAACCCAGCCTATGCAAGTTAGAAAGACCCTGTCTCAAAATAAAAAGCCTATTTTGTCTCAGCCAGTGGCTCACTATAACTACCATAATAGTTCTTTACTTCTCTTAAAAATGAATTATTTGGAACTAGTAACTTAGTGTAAGAAAAACCCTCTCTAAATGCTATCATTCTGTGAAAATCAAAGTGACTTAAGAGGTTAGAAGAAGATGAATGTGTTAATGAAGTCTGAGCAAGTGGCAAATTAAATAAAAGTTCTAGTGGATCAGTGGACAGGACTCTGAAAATGGAGAAGGGGGCTCAGGACCCTATTTCCACAGAGGGCAAGAAGATTCTCAGAGGATTGGATCCTTGAAGCCAGCCTGAAATGTGGCCTAGATCTTGCCAGGAAGTATGAGTGGGAAGGTGTCCCAGAAAAGGAAGTGCACACCAAAGGTGACCTAGCTGGTGGTCCTAGGCTAGTGGTGGCCTAACCTATGGCCTGCCTGCCGCAGCCGGCTGTTTAACTGAAAGCTCTAAAAGGTTCACCATGGCTGCCTTAGGGGAATCTCAGGGTCACAGCAGGAGCAGCAGAGAGAGCAAGACCAACAGCAGGGCAGAGGCCAGAAAGCTGACTGAGAAGGTGCCTAGGAGCCAACTCTATTTCACACCCAGGAGAATACCTCTTGGAATCCTCAGCATGCATCTAAAGCACATGAGAGCTCATAATTCACAAAACGGTGGGACTCAAAAATCTGTTTCTAAGAAGTGCCCAGCCACACCAACCTTGTTGCTCCAGGTGCCACCCATGAACCCTTTACCCCACTCTATTACCACCTTCCCTACCCACCTAGACCTGCAGTGTGACGTGGGCAAAGCCTATCCACGCATATTTCATAATCTGATCCATGCTTGACCAGAAAATCCCCAAGCAGCCCATTAAACTGTACACAAAATACAGTGAAGCAGAAGAAAAATGGGTCAGACACAGTTATCTCCAGTGCCACATAGTACTCCCGGGACTGTCAATCCCGTTACCCTTGCCCCCTGCCCTCAGGGTCTACTGCACCACTCGTGAGCTGGGGAAGGAGGGAGCTTCAGCCTGCTGTACGCTGCAACTAACCAAAAACTCAGAGAGAGAAAAAAAAGACAATGTTATGATGATAAACACTACTGATACTCCAGAGTTTGTTACAGTAGAATTTTCTGTTAAGTGTAAACAGACACAATTCATGTTAAGCCTTTTATCTTCATGTGTCAATGAGAATGTGTTTACACTGTATATGTACATTGCTCTTTCATACAGACAGCAATTCTGGCCACCTGACACATTCAATAACTGAAGGCAATCAGGAATGTAAGGGATTTCCATTACACAGGTGACTCTGAGAACAGAAATTAAAAATGAAGTGTAATTTGAATTTGCAAATTGTTC